ATCTTGTTTTCTTATCCGTTCTGCCACCCTCCGTCTCTTAACATGTGCATTCAATCCATTTACGTTCAGTGTAATTATCGATAGGTATTGATTATTTGTTATCATTATATTTGTTTTTTTGTGGTGTTGTTGCTTCTTTGTTCTGTTTGTCTTTCTCTGGTTGTTGTCTGTTCTTGTTGGTTCTCGGTCCACAGAACTCCCTTTAGGATGTTTTGTTGCGCAGGGTTGGCTTTGGTGAAGTCCCATAGCTTCTGTTTATCCTGGAATGTTTTGATTACACCCTCATATTTGATAGCTTTGCTGGATAAAGGATTCTTGGTTGGCAATTTTTTTCTTGCAGGGTTTTATATATGTCTCCCCATTGCCTTCTCGCTTGCATGGTTCCTACTGAGAAGTCTGAGCTTAGTCTGACTTGTTTGCCTTTGTATGTGACCTCTCTATTTTCTCTTGCTGCTTTCAGGAGTGTCTCCTTATCTTTGAGGTTGGAGAGCTTTACTATGATAAGTCTCGGTGATTTTCTTTTGGGGTCCACCCTTCCTGGACTTCGTTGGGCTTCTTGATTTTCTATCTTCTTGCCGTTGAGGATATTAGAGAAAGTTTCTTCCAGTAGTTCTTTGACTATTTCCTCTGTGAACTTGTGTGACTCATTTTGTTCTGAAATGCCAATAATTCTTAGGTTATTCCTCTTCATGTTGTCCAACATGAATCTTAGGTCTTCCTCTGAATTTTTTATTCTTTTTTGGGTTTGTTCTTCTATCTTAGTGGTATTGAGAGACTTGTCTTCCAGCTCACTGATTCTTCCTTCCATCTCATCTATTCTACTTCTCTGCCCTTTCAAAGAGTTTTCTATTTCTGCTACTTTGTTGTTGATTGTTTGGACCTCTTTCTGTAGGTTTTGTAGTGTTACCAATGCTGTATCTATCTTGTTTGATTGTTCCTGTAGCTCTTTACTGACTTCTTCCTTATTTTTCTCAACGCCATTGTAAAGTGTTTTGAAACATTTTACAGTCATTTTTCTGAATTCTTTCTCAGGCATTTCCAGGGCCTGCCCTCCTTCCAGAATGGAGCCCAGGTCTACTTCTATGTCATTTGTCTCAGATATTTTATCTTTTTTTCTGGACATGTGCTGATATGGTCATCTGCTTTTGCGTCTTAGACAGGTTTAATGTTTATTTGTGGCCCTTATACTTAAATGAGTATGCATTTTGGTACTTTTTTATGCTTTCTGATTGCTTCCGGGAAGATGTGATCAGGGTGTGGTCTTCCCTTTTCCCTCTTCTTATTGTTTAACTCAGAGTAACTTTCACAGGTGTTGCCTGTTTCCCTGGTAAATCACAGCTGGTATTGGTTCTTGCCTGGGTTTTGGTATTTTATAAGGTGTGATTGCAACTTGGCTTTTTGGCACTGGTTGCTGACTCTTCTCTTGTAATATTGGGAGACAGAGAGTCCTCCAAAAGCAGATGGGAGGCTGTGTAGCAGCCAAACAACAGCAGTTGGGTAAAAAACAGAAACAAAATCAGAATCAGAAGCAAAAACCAAAATGGGAGAAAGAGGAAAAATGGAACGAAGGAAAAAAAAATAATAAAATAAAACCGGAATAAAATAATGCAGCACCAGCGAAAACAAGACTAAATATAGCAGCCTAAAAAAAGGGAGAGTGGGTCGGAGAAGAAAAAGAAGAAGAAGAAAGAAAAAAGAAGAAAAAAAAAATCTGTAGCTTAATATAAGTATTTCTTTAATGTCCTAACTCTCTTTCAGTCACCCCTGCCCTCCTCTCCGTACTGTTAGGTGCTGTTGAGTCAATTCCGACCTGTAGCGACCATGTATAAGGGCTCCGAGGAGCGGCCGGTGTGAGCCCGAACCACCGACCCTGCAGTTCAAAAGGCTTTGCAGTGTGGCACCTCAACCCACAGTGCTATGCCGGGGCTCCTCCCAAACCAGTGAAGAAGAAAAAAGAAAAAAACAAAAAGCAAACCAAATAGGACACACATCCCCATCTCCCATATAGGGTTTCCGCGGAGCGGCTGGTTAGCTTGAACCACCAACCTTGCAGTTCGAAAGGCTTTGCAGTGGTGCCTTAACCCACAGCGCTACGCCGGGACTCCGCTCAAATCGTCTCCCGTATAGGTTTCCCCGGAGCAGCTGGTTAGCTTGAACCACTGACCTTGCAGTTCAAAAGGCTTTACAGTGGCGTTTTAACCTACAGTGCTATGCCGGGACGCCTCTCCAACCAGTGAGTAAAAGCCGATCAAATAGAACGCACATCCGCCTCTCCCGTATAGGGTTTCCGAGGAGTGGCTGGTGAGCTTGATCCACCGACCTTGCAGTTCAAAAGGCTTTACAGTGGCACCTTAACCCATCATTAAGCCTCTCAAACCAGTGAGAAAAAGCCGACCAAATAGAACGCACATCAGCGTCTCCCCTATAGGGTTTCCAAGGGGCGGCAGGTGAGCTTGAACCACCGACCTTGCAGTTCAAAAGGCTTTTACCGTGGCACCTCAACCCGCCACGCCACGCCACGCCAGGAAGCCTCTCAAACCAGTGAGAAAAAGCCGACCAAATAGAGCTCACATCCGCATCTCCCGACATTGCAGTTCAAAAGGCTTTACAGTGGCATCTTAACCCACCACGCTACGCCGGGATGCCTCTCCAAACAGTGTGAGAAAGCCGCCAAAATGGAACGCACATCCGCCTCTCCCGTATAGGGTTTCCGAGGAGCGGCTGGTGAGCTTGAACCACCGACACCTTGCCGTTCAAATGTATTGGCGGCACGGCGCCTTAACCCTCCGAGCTACACCAGGACCCCTCTCAACCCAGTCCAAAAAGGCCGACCAAATATGCGTCTCAGCTTGGCCTGAGTGTGTGTGAGTTCCTGGCAGAGGAAACTGCCATTGGTGAGGGTGGGTCGTGGCCACTAGGCTAAGCCCTACCTCTGTTCATCGAATGTAGGTGAGCAAACCGTGAATACACCTATTACCCTACACCAAAGAAAAAAATTAAATCGGACCCACACAAAATCGGCAGAGTATACTGTGCACCTTTTTTTTTCCTCTTTCTTTTCCAGGGTTCCCTCGGCATGCCTCCGCCGTGTCTCTGCGGCTCCTATTTTGTTCCGCCGCCTGGATTCACCAAGGATGTGGCCTCAGCCCTCCATGCCTTGCCGGCAGATCCTAAATTATGCGATTTCCCGCCTCAGCTCCAAATTCCACATGCCTATAAGTCCTCAAACCTTTAAACTATTCCTATCTCTGTGGGTCCAAGCCTTGGAGCCCCATCCTGCCTCTTTCTTGCCTGGAATTCCGAGTTATTGTTGACGGTGACCTTCACTACATCTTTACCCTAGCTGCCATCCTTAATCTCACTCTTAATTGGTGATTTGAAAGTCATGTAAATTTGTAGTATCTATTTTTAGAAATGTTACTTGATAAAGTTCATGTTATAAATATTCAGAGAAAAAAAATCTCCTTTCTTCAGTCTTGAAATGTTTAATAAAGTAGCCTTCAAAGTAAGTCCAGATGCATGACTACCTGCTTCCTAACCCAGCTCTGTTGGTTATATAAGAGCTTGTTAGTCATGCCTGTGCATATACATCTTTTCAAGAAGATGGCCAAGCCTCTGAAAGCAGAGTTGTTAACTATAAGTGCCTGGTGTCTGAAATTAACTCTTGTTTTAACCTTAGTATGCCTAGATTTAGTTGCATGGTGAATTCAGTTCAGAATTCTTGAATATCTTACCTGTTCTCTCCAGCTAACTAAGCAACACTTACAGAATAGCCGTGCAGATAGGAGGAAATCTGCTGTGCCCAGAGGAATTATAATGCCTGTTTATAATTATAGCACTTTGACGTTTCTTCCCCGTGTCTTCTGTTCCAAGCGCAGAGTTTTCCCATAGGTTTTAACTAAGGAAAATCATTCAAAAATATTTTTCCAAACATTGAGCATTGATTGTTTGCTTTTTTTCAGCCCACTGAGAAGGAACTGAGACAAACCACAGCACTGTTGTTGGCTCAGCAAACTGCTCTGGAAATTATTGTCAACATGTGCTATAGTGAAGGTTTGTTACAAGTTTACATTTAAACATTTTTCCCTGTCTTGGAGGGCACCTCCATGAGGATTTTCTTAAATATTACTGTTATGTATGATTTACATTCTTTTCAGATCCTTCCGATGATGAATGGGAAGAACTCTCTAGCAGTGATGAAAGTGATGCATTTATGGAGACTTCCTTCAATGAGTGTGATGGCCAGCTGCAGTCTCCCCTATGTCTTTCCCATGAGATTCACACTGCACTCACTCACTATCTCATCCCAAAGAAGGTAATCTGTTTTCATTCTTTTTCAAGTCTAGCCATTTTACATAAAAGTAATACTGTAGAAATTCTATAAAGGAATAATGTGTAAAATATAACCTGTTGCTCTACTGTCTTTCTTAAATCTAGATTGTTGAGAAAATTTCCTTTCCAAATGACATTGCAGTTGATGTATGCTCTAAAAGTCCTGCTTGGAAATTTTTGATTAGAAAGTAAGATTTTTTTCTATTTTCAAAAACATTTGTCAGTATTTTATGAAATAAAATTAAATAGAAGATGCTGACTCCCCTGAGGCTCAACAGTTATATTCCTGGATATATACCCTAGAGAAATATGTGTGCTAGGCTACATATATGAGAGTGTTCACAGCATTGTGGATCTTAATTACCTGAACCTGGAAACAACCGTAATGATATCCATCAGTGGTAGACGGGATAAATTTTGACATAATCATGCAGTAGAACACATACAGCAGTAAAAAGGATTTGAATTATAACTACTCAAATCATGAATGAAACAACAAAAAAAGAGAAAGATATCAGATATATACTCTTGATTCCATTATACAAGCTCAAAAACAGCAAAGCTAAATTATATTGTTTAAGAATGCATGTGTAGGTGGTAAACAAATTCAGAAAAACTAGGAAATGTTTACCATAAAAGTGTTTACCTCTGGAAGTTAGGAGGGTGGGTGCAATTGAGAAGAGGCTGTGGTGGAGTTGGTTTCTTGCCTAGTTGGCAGTTTCAAGGATTTTTACTGTATTATAAACTATTTGTTAAATTGTATATATGCATTAGTGTTTACCTATATATGTTATATTTTACAATTTTAAAAGATTTTAAAGGTGCTATTTGCATAAAAATTTTTGTAAAACAGATTATTTATGACACATGAATGATTCGGAGGTCTGAATATTTTACTTGGGAGATTAAAGTTTGCCTAAAGATTGTTTACTAACTGTCATAGACCTCCTTCTACTTACAAGTATTTCCAGTCAAACTGAAGCTTAGGTTAAGAGTTAATACTGAATCCTGCTAATAATTATCTTAATCACTATTAGAGGAAGAGATAATATTGTTTCCTTTCCTTTCCAGATTGAATACTATACAGTGTAGAGCCCTCATGTGTCTCCAGAGTCTTGTATCCCTCCTGGATTTGGAGCATCTGGGAGGAGCTGCAGCCCTTCAAACACTTGCAAAGCATCTGTCCCAACTTCTTTTTTCTAAGCCAGGTAAGATTGTAGCCCTTACTGTGAAAGACTGTTGGGTTGGGGGCAAAACTTTGAAGGAGCTATTAGTAAGTGATGATGAGTTGGTTCCGATGTATAGCAACCTTCAGTAGTGCTTCCAAGGAGTAGATGGTAGATTTGAACCTCTGACCTTGTAGTTATCCTACAGTGCCACACAAGGAGTTGTTATGTGACATCCGGTTGGTACCGACTCATAGCGACTCTATGAACAAAACAGAGCAAAAACAGAAACAAAAATATAGAACAAAAAACAGCCCGGACTTTTTGCAACGGGACATAAGCGACGAGAGAGGCAGAAGGACAGCAGCTGGAGGGCAATGGAGGTGGCGCGGCCCATCCTGTCCTCGCCATGAGGCTGCAGCAGGCGCCGGTGTCCAGGAAGGTCTTCATTCAGCGAGACTACAGCAGTGGCACACGCTGCCAGTTCCAGACCAAATTCCCCATGGAGCTGGAGAACCGGATTGATAGACAACAGTTTGAAGAAACCGTAAAGCTTGGGGGCCAGTTGTATCTTGAAGATGTTTGGCTTGCTTAACAGCATACACCATCTTTTTATGCATGGAAACTCATTATGAGAAGGTTCTGAAGAAAGTCTCTAAATACATTCAAGAGCAGAATGAGAAGATATATGCTCCCCAAGGCCTCCTTCTGACAGATCCCATTGAGTTATTGAAATTACCATTTATGAAGACAGAGGCATGAGTAGTGGAAAATAAACTTTAGAGTTAAAGAACCTACCTCAAACTGAGACCCTCTTCTGTCCACTGGCCAACCACAGAGTGTCCCCTACCTCCTCTCCAGAGCATGCATTCCTTTGTATTTGCTGCCAGAGCCATGGTGCCATTTACTCCAAGACTTAACTTACTACAATTCCATGTCTGGGGTGACTTCTAGCCACTCAGCAGCCACTTTGTATCTCTAAATTGATTAGTTTCTGAGTAAACACAATGAAGGATTTCACTTTCTTATTCGAAGCTGTTTAATAAAATTATGCAGTTGGTCTGCCCGATACAAAGTTAATTTTGCTCTGCCACCATTGGGTTCTCTTGGTTCCTTGGGCCAGGTTCCCTGGTGGCTTTGGATTTCAACAAGTCAAATTTTAGTTAGTGTTCAGTCTTATTCCCCAAAATGTAATGCTTTTCTTCCAGGTATTTGGTGAGGGGTAGACTGTGCCCATAATTTTTCTAATGCATCTCTTAAGGGACTACTAGTTTTGCCATGACTCAGATCTTCAAAAGATCAATTTCTGCTGTTCAGTGTCTAACTGAAACTAATTGGAAAGATGATGTGTTATTATAGCAATTATTCCTTATTAAGCCAGTATTTAATGCAGTTTCCAGTTTTTTGTTTGTTTAGTTGGTTAGTTTTTTTATTTTTATTTTTGAAATTGTTATTTTATGATTGCATTACCATGAATGTTGGAAAGATGTGTGTTACCTGTTCATTACAAAAATAAGTAAGCACAATAAAGTGGATGCTAAACCATCAAACACAGAATATCCCTGCTGTGTCCCTGAATGTGTAATAAGCAAGTATAATAAATATTTTAATTATAGTTTTGTTATAAATATAACATATAAGAAAATAATTTGATAAGAATAATACTGTATATTACAAATTTTTAACTGCCCCTACTGGCAAACCTTACAGACCTTCCTCTTATACAGTATTCATTGCACAGCAGTCTTATGAGTGGTTCAAGTAAAGTGATTTCCAAGTATAACTCTTAAGTCTAAGTCAATATTTCTAGTTCTTTTGGCCGCACATTTTAAATATCAGGGCTTCTTATGCCTTAAATTCATCTTTGGGGTTGAGAGCATTTTATTTGGGAGAAACTTAGGAGAGAGTGAAACAATTAAGTTTTACTTTTAGACATATTGTAGGTGCTGATACTGGATTTAATCTTTCAGAATTAATTTCTTTAGTGGGTTTGTTCTTCAATAAATTCCATAGGTCTGTGTCATATTTTAATTGCATTAAAAAAAACACAAAAAACCTTTGTTACTTAATAGCCTGTGATAATAGTGTATCTTTCTGCTTTTTAAACCCATTGCAATAACTTTGCTGAAATTATAACACACTAGTAAAACTTTTCTTAAAAAACCCAAACAAAACAAAAAATATCCTGGTCCTGTGCCAACCTCACAATCATTGCTACACTTGAGTCCGTTGCCGCTGCCAATGTGCCACTACATCTCATTGGGGGTCTTCCTCTTTTTCTCTGACCCTCCACTTTAACAAGCATGAAATCCTTCTCCAAGGACTGGTTCTTCCTGATAATATGTCCAAAGTGTAATACACAAAGTCTGGCCATCCTGTCTTCTAACAAGCATTATGACTGTACTTATTCTAACATAGATCTGTTTGTTCTTTTGGCAGTCCATGGTATTTTCAATATTCTCCTCCAACACTGTAACTCAAATGCATCAATTCTTCTACGGTCTTCCTTATTCACTGTCCCAACTTTTGCGTGCATATGAGGTTATTGAAAATATCATGGCTTGGGTTAGGTGCACCTTAGGCCTCAAACTGACCTGACGTCTGTGCTCGTGAACACTTTAAAGAGGTACAGCAGATTTACCTAATGCAATATGCCATTTGACTTCTTGACTCCTGTTTCTATGAGTGTTGATGGTGGATCCAAAGCAAAATGAAGTTATTGAAAATTTCAATCCTTTATTTATCTTGATGTTAGTTATTGGTCCAGTTGTGAGGATTTTTATTTTCTATACATTGAACTGTAACCCATACCAAAGTCTGTGGTTTTTGATCTTCATCAGTAAGTTTTTGTGTTTTTAAAAAATGTTTTATTGTGTATTATGTGATAGTTTACTTGGGAGAACATTAGCTTTACATTCATCCTATCTTTATCGTATCATTGCCATGGTTATAATCCCCTCCATGTATCAACAACCAACCAAATGGTATACCCCCCAAGCCTGCCCCTTGATCATCAGCACACAATCCCTCTCGCTCTCTGAGTCTTTAGTTCCCAGCCACTCTGTCTCTCCACATCAGTCTCTGCCTCCATCTCTGGAGCCACTGTTTCTCTGGGTAGTGTCCCACACTCCACTCTTCTTCCTTAATATGGTCCCAGGGACCTCCGCTCCTGGACTGCAAAGTCAACCACTCCCCTCCTTTTGCTACAAAATATCTACCTTTACATTTCTAACCTCACAGTCAGTCCTGATAGCAATTATTGACTATTGTACCACAAGAGTCCTATCCCCATCTCCTTTCATCAGCCCCGCTCAAACAGATTGGATACAACTCAGTGGAGATTCTACCCTTTGCCAAGCCCTCTGGATCTAGGCTCCCTCTTGAAAGCTTGTAATCCTTTGTAGCCCACCTTCCCCCTCGCCCCATTTTGAGTAGCCAATGTCCAAGTTGCCCATCCCTGTCTGTCCTGTGTATCAAGGGAGTGGGAGTTGTCCATGCTGTAAAGATTTGTTACCTCTTTTGAGCTACTGCATCCATAGGTGTACGTCAGGTTCATCAAATTGTACTTTTTATCCTCTTCTTCTTCTAGTTGAGTTCTGATCATCGAGCCATTGAAGCCAGGTCAAGTGGGTATTACCTGCAAGTGTGGGTGGTGTTGTATGTATATGCCCTCACTTCCTATCAGCTGGACACTTCACTTTCCACTCTAGTCCTCTGTGACTATGTCACTGACTCTGGGCCGAGCAACCCCCAGGTCTTACCATACTGCTGGCCAACCAGGTCTCCATTCGGGTTCACAGGAGTCTATTGAATGTGGTTGGACTTAGCTCGCAACTTCATTGCTGTTTTTCCCTCACTTCCCCTTATCAGTGACCAATGGGGTCACCAGTCCAGAGCACATGTCTGCTTGTGTAGTCCCCTTCAGTCTTAGTCTTGGAAGAGGGTTTGCCCTGAGGGGACCTGACCACTTGCCTTGATGTCTTCTGGGCGAACAACTTGCTTCTTGTTGTAGTAGTCATTCGGACTGCCATTAATAGTTTTTAATTTTTCCTGTCAGTCTTTCTTTCAAGCAGTATCTTCTGTTCTAGCCACTCCAGGCTGGTCTGCTTGTCCTTTCAAGTGGAGATTTTCCACCTCATAAGACACTGGATGGGGTTCAGGATTCCACTGATGGTCTTACGCAGTACAGAGGTTCTGCTGGAAGTCTCCTTCACTGGGCAAGTTGTAGCCCGATTTTAGGTATTCCAATCAGTTATTGGCAGAACATGGACTTACAAGCTTTCTGTGATGATATTTCTGGCTATTCCTTTCTTTCCTTCTCAAGTATCTATTTTACAATGGTATGCAAGAGAAACCAGCATTCAAAAGATAGCCAAGCATCTTAACATTGTTTCCCCCTTTTTACCCATTCAAACCATACTTCAATCCCTGTATGCCAGAGCCCTATTGTTCCAGGGTTGTGCATACATCATTATTTATCTCTGTCCCACTTAGCCCATGCAAACCTGCTTAACTGTTCTCCCATCCACCTTGTCCTTCCATTCTGCTCCCCCTTCTTGTGTATTGCCCCCTCCCCAGCACCCAAGCTATCCTGTGTCTATACCCTGTGCTGTGTTCCACCTTGCCCTCCCTCCCCTCACCCCATCCCCCACCTACTGGTAACCAGCAAAGAATTTTTTTTTTCCCATTTTTAAAAACAATATGGGTTCTCTTTCTTAGTCTTTTACAATAGTGGTCCTATGCAGTTTTTCTCCTTTTGTGACTGACTAGTTTCACTCAGCATAATGTCCTCAAGGTTCATCTATGTTATGCGGTGGCTTGTAGCTTCCTTTTTATTCTTCAAGATAGCAATATTCCATTGTGTGTATGTACCATAGTTTGCTTATCCATTCTTCAGTTGATGGGCACTTGGCTGTCTCCATCTTTTTGTTATTGTAAATAGTGCTGCTGTGAATATTGGTGGGCATATATCGTGTTATGGCTCATATTTCTTGTGGGTAAATACCAAGTAGTGGAATTGCTGGATCATAACCTTCTGAGGA